ATATGCATGTTTTCATGTGATGCATACATATGTGTGCATACAAACATCAAGATAATTTCTTCATCTGAGGATTAAAGAGAGCTTGTAGCTAGACAGAGCCAGCAGAGGGCGTGTAGGAGCTGAGTTCCCTGCTGAAGGAGGCACAGCCCAATATCCTGGCCTTGCAACTTAGACTACTGGAACCAAGTTTTGCTAACAGCTGCTTATGTAATTTTTTTAAGGGGTAAAGCAAAAAGTGTTTAAAAGAAGTATTTTTAAACATAATTTAATTTTGAAAATAATGTGTAGCTACAGTCACTGTATGAAATAAAGCATTGATTTAATGCAGATACATTTAGATCATCCCCAAAATAGACCTTGTATATTATTTTTATATTAATTTTATGTATTTGAAGACTCGTAAATGCCTTCAGACTTACTTCTAGTTCCTTAAAAGAAAATTTCTGAAGAAGCCATATACACATGTGAAATAATGAAAAGTTCTTACTTACATTTTCTGGGGAAAAAATGAAATTGAAAGAAATTGAAATTAGTTTTATTATTATTATTTCTCATTTGGATACAACATTAATTCAGAGATATAAATCAGTCTGACCTCAATAAGACATACATAATATCAAGTATATTACCTAGCCACAGCCAAGAACTACTTTATGAAGCTATATCTAAATAGAAAAATGAGGGGCTCATTTGATTAATCCTCTGCCTGCGGCACCTGCATCCCATATGGGTGCCAGGTTCTAGTCCTGGTTGTTCCTCTTCCAGTCCAGCTCTCTGCTGTGGCCTGGGAGTGCAGTGGAGGATGGCCCAAGTGCTTGGGCCCTGCACCCGCATGGGAGACCAGGAGAAGTACCTGGCTCCTGGCTTCAGATCAGCACAGCGCTGGCCGTGGCAGCCATTTGGGGTGTGAACCAACGGAGGGAAGACCTTTCTCTCTGTCTCTCTCTCACTGTCTATAACTCTACCTGTCAAATAAAAAAATTTAAAAAAAATTTAAATAGAAAAATGATTAGATATATCTAAATAGTAAAATGATTACAAAAATGGTTGATTTAATGGTTTTAGGAAGTACAAATTGCTATTATTTCATTCCAGACACCGTTGTAAAATCTAAATTAGACTATTCACTAGTACAAATTTTTAATAAAATTGTAAAACTGTTATGACTTATAGAATTTCCAATCAGTGTAAGGGGCTAAGGAGGTGCATCAGCTTCCTGAAGCTATCTTCACAAATTACCAAGAACTAGTATACTGAAGCAACATAAATTGGTTGTCAAATAATTCAGGAGGTTTGAAGTCTGAAAGCAAGGTATCAGAAACCTAGGAGAGCATCTTTCCTGGCCCTTTCTAGCATTCCATGGCTTGTAGATATATCATTCAAGTCTCAGACTCCCTCATCAATCAAATGGCTCCCTTTGCTCTGTGAGTTTTTCTCTTTTAAAAAAGACATTGGTTATTTAGGATTAAGGCTCTACTCTATTGCAATATGGCCACAATTTAACAACTAATTACATAGGCAATGACCCTTTTCCCAAAAAGCTCCCATTCTGAGATACTGGGGATTAGCACCGCAACATATCATTTTGGAGGACTCAATTCAACCCATAATGGGAGGTGTCCATTATGGAGAAGATTGTAAGATTTTCCTTTTTTCAAAAAATGAGGGACCAGGATTCTGGCTTCAGTGAGCGGACTCCAGGCAGTGAGAGGAATCAAGCCCCATTGGGGTGCAGCCCACCCAGAACCACTGCCAAGTGTTTTGCACATGTTTTTGTCTCCCAAAGTGGGTTCCAAGAACCCTCCGAAGCAGGATATTTGAAAACACACAAAGTTGGCAACCACTGATCAGAGAATGATAGATATATAAAGGATAAATAACTAAAATCAGGTCAAATAATTTCTAAGTCAAAACAAGAAGAGTATGTATATCCTGACTCACACTGAGTTTTTATTATTATAACAAAATTTTTAAATCCTAAAGATAGTTCAGTATGCATACAATATTATTTTGTAGATACACAAACAAATTAATTCTGACTTATATTAATACCACAAACTCATGGGGCATTATGTCCATGTTTTTTGAGAAAAGCTGTGTACCAAATATCTTAACATTAATTAAATTACTTTTTCCCAATACAAAAGCCAAAGCCTGGTAACTTCAGACATACAGGTTTTAAAAATGTCTCTCTCTCTCACTGTCCACTCTGCCTGTCAAAAAAGAAATTCTATAATTATTGATATCTTGATTGAATGTAAATGAGCTAAGGTATTTATTAATTGACCAAAAATGAGCAAAAATTAGAAATTGAGAAACAAAGAATGGAGTAGACTTCTCTCTAGAATTTTCAAAAGGCAAAGTTTCCAAATTATTATGAGAAGCATGAGGAGAATGATCGCTGTGGCCATTGTCATATCTGCTATAGAAAAGTTATGCTGGTGGCCAGCACCGCGGCTCACTAGGCTAATCCTCCACCTAGCGGCGCCGGCACACCGGGTTCTAGTCCCAGTCGGGGTGCTGGATTCTGTCCCAGTTGCCCCTCTTGGGCCCTGCACCCCATGGGAGACCAGGATAAGCACCTGGCTCCTGCCTTCGGATCAGTGCGGTGCGCATGCCGCAGCACGCCGGCCACGGCTGCCATTGGAGGGTGAACCAACGGCAAAGGAAGACCTTTCTCTCTGTTTCTCTCTCTTTCACTGTCCACTCAGCCTGTTTAAAAAAAAAAAAAAAAGAAAAGAAAAAGAAAGAAAGAAAGAAAAGTTATGCTGGATGTAGTTGTTCTGACATTTATTTAAAATGGAAGGGAAGCAATTTCAATGTAGAATCTTGTCCTTAGTATTGAAATAACTGTATAATGGTCAAATGAGAAATTTCTCTGGAAATTTTCCTCTCTCAGTATAAGATTCACTAACAGATTCAGTTATTTAACTAAATAATTTTGAAGTTTTTTTTTTAGAGGACGTAACTATCTTTGATCATCTTTTTATTTTTATTTTTGATTACCCAATATTTTTCATTAAAACTATGAACACGAAGGGTGGGTGTTTGGTATAGCAGCTTAAATGCGCGTCACATGTCAGTCAGAGTGCCTGGGTTTGCGTCCGGTCTCCAACTTCTTACTTCACCTTCCCATTAATGCAGACTTTGGGGGGCAGCAGGTGAGGGTTCCAGTAGTTAGGTACCTGCCACCCATGTGCGACACCTGGATTGGGTTCCAGCACAGAGCTTTGGCCTGGCGCAGCCCCTGCTGTTGTGGACATCTAGAGTGAGAGCAAGCAGATGGGACAACTCTATTTCTCAGTTTCTCTCTCTCTCTCTCTCTCTCTGTCTCTATATGTATGTATGTGTGTATGCATGTCTCAGAGAATGAACATGACAAATGTAAGAAATGTATTTCTGAATTCTATACATGAAGTCTCTAATATTTGATATATTTATATCAAATATAATCAATATCAAATATCAAATTTATATATATTTTTATATATAAATATAATTTGACTAAGTGAATATCACATACTTCTGAATTTTTATATTGTTGGATAGAATGCATAAACTTTGTGAAGAATTCCTTTATAAGATATTGGCTTCAAAGAACATTGGTTCCATAATTGATTTTGCAACTTCTTCTCACTACTTCTTGTCATTTTCACAGAGGCCCAGAGTCTTCAAATTGCAAAGAAAAGAGAAAAAAAAAAACACAAAATATCAAATAATGCTCACCACAACTAAGAAAATTTATATTATAATTATGTACCTAATGACCCTTATGAAACTTTAATAATCAATGCCATAAATAAATTATCCACCCCAGAACAAAATAACGTAAATTGTTATAGTTTGAATTTTAATTATTTAAGAATGTGTCCAAGACCCACCTAAGCATTTCTAAGATATTGTCAGAATTGATTCAGTAAAACATTGACAAAAACATTAGAAGGATGTATAGAGAGAGGGTAATGAGAACTCTGGAGAAAACAGGTTTTTTTGTTTTGTTTTGTTTTGTTTTGTTTTGTTTTTTTGACAGGCAGAGTGGACAGTGAGAGACAAAGAGAAAGGTCTTCCTTTTTCTGTTGGTTTAACCCCCCAGTGGCCGCTGCACTGATCTGAAGCCAGGAGCCAGGTGCCTCTCCTGGTCTCCCATGCGGGTGCAGGGCACAAGTACTTGGGCCATCCTCCACTGCACTCCCTGGCTACAGCAGAGAGCTGGACTGGAAGAGGAGCAACCAGGACAGAATCCGGCGCCCTGACAGGGACTAGAACCCGGGGTGCCAGCACCGCAGGCAGAGGATTAGCCTAGTGAACCGTGTTGCCGGCCCGAGAAAATAGTTTTACAAACTTCAGAAATACTGACAACATTTAATAAAATTCACATGTTTTTAAGGAAAAAGTCATACTTTTTATAAAAAAAAAATCATTGTCTATAATGTGGGAATTGCTCATGTGGTGGTGGGAAGAGACTGCCCTTTATCGAGCTGCATGCAGTTTACAAACTTTATTTAACACTTTGTGAGGTTTAAAAGACAAATGCCATGCAGGAAATACTAATCCTGTGATAACTGAATTTGTTAAACTAAATCTCAATCAAAACGCTATGGCCCGGGAAGGCAGTGGAGGATGGCCCAAGTGCTTGGGCCCTGCACCCGCATGGGAGACCAGGAGGGAGCACCTGGCTCCTGGCTTCGGATAGGCGCAGTGCGCCAGCCATAGCGGCCATTTGCGGGGTGAACCAACAGAAGGAAGACCTTTCTCTCTGTCTCTTTCTCTCACTATCTAACTCTGCCTGTCAATAAATAAATAAATAAATAAATAACCTTGACAAACACGGGACATTGTCCTTGTATTATAATTGAGGAAAAAGACACAGAGATGAAGTAGCTTTCTCAAGATCACACAGCAAAGATCATTTGAAAGCACTCAGGAGAGCTTCCACAGATAGATCTACTCTACTGTGAATTGTAAAAAAATATTTTATTGGCTGTGTTTTGTATTTTCAGGTATTTTCTTATACTGCTGACAAAGAAATCCGGACCGATGACTTGTGCTTGGATGTTTCTAGACTCAATGGACCAGTAATCATGCTGAAATGCCACCACATGAGAGGAAATCAGTTATGGGAGTACGATGCTGAGGTATAGCAGTTGCTTCTTTTGCATATTATGTGATCCTTAAACTCATTTATGTATTTCAACAGCATTTGAATCCTGTGCTATTACTTTTCTGCATTGGCAGAGATGTGTTACCTAGCATGAACAACCATATCTGATAACACTAGGATAGAATATTACACAAATGGTTTTTGAGCTAAAGTAGTCCATGGATATATAGCATGAGTGAAGAAAAAATGTTAATTTTATTTGCATATAACTTATTGTATCTAGGTACGTGCCCAGCATATATTAGGCAAAGAGGAAGTTGTGCTTCTCTGAGAGTTTATTATGAAGATATGCATACAGTATACTATTGTTAATATGTTTTATAATCTTAAATTTTACACCATGATAATCTTTCTTATTTATGTTTTTCTACTTGAAAGAAAAATATGACAAGATTAACACGATTTCCTCACTACTGTAATAAATATTGTAAAGGATTCTTTATTTTTTACAAATGCAACACCTTTCAGAATTCGATAAACTGTCCTTAATCAGCTAAGCAACCTCATTTTAATGTAGCACTCCTGTGAGAGGAGACGGAGAGAAAACAAAAATCACTGCTGGGGAATTATAAACAGGCAAGATGTAAAAACCAGATCAACCATCAGATGGAGCTAATGAAAAAGAAATACTTCCTCGATAAGCATGCTTCCTCAAAAACAGCTGAATTTCTTTCTGTTCTCTTTGGTTAGGAAAATGAATGGTCATTTGGGTTACGTTTCCCACGTTAATAAGTTCTCGATGATTTATTTTAAAGTTGAACTGAAGTTGATTCTTACAAGATAAACAACATGATTGAGGGAAATGAGTCTCACAGATGCAATGTTCTGTAAAAACCCAACTACTGTGCAAGAGTAACATTTGAAAAACCAAGCTGAAGAATTTTTGGTGCTATTGATATTTTAACAAATTCTTTTTAAAACTGTTGATATCATCTTGATATGCATAAATTTATTGTTTCTTACATTAGGAAAACTTACTTAATTCTTACAGGATTTCAAATTGGTTACATAGCTTTGATTTGGTGATTTAAATCTGTATGTTCCAAAAGTTTGGGGTCATAAAATCTTCTGGGCCATAACAAGCAAACCTTCCTATGTGTAATGTTCAGACTCTTTTACCTACTCAGTATTTTATTCACCATCTTTGTCTAACCATCATTTTTTTCCTCTTCGACAATTATCTGTTATCACTATTCCTTATGCTAAGCCTAGAGAACACATTTAGTAACACATGTAGGAAAAAATGGACCTAATTCTTATAAAAGAGATGTTATTCTTCTCTATGTCTTTCACATTAGTAAACTGAGGCATAAAGTATATGTCCTAAGTTTGTATAAACATGTTTGTGGCACTAAATCCAGCTATTTTTTCTACCACACTATGTTGCCCCACAAGGTAATTGGAAAGTTAAATAATTAGATTATTTCAATGGTAATGTTCTAATGAGCTAAATATACAGAATTATAAATGAAATCATTATTGCTGTGGTAGGTTTGCAGTATTAATTTATATTCACATAGAATTTCTCCTTAATGATGGGAAAGATTTTCAACAGTAACTATGGGCTACTTAGAAATTGGCAGTTATAAAACTACTTTGTCACTATGATCTAATGCTTATAAACTTTATACATAGTCATAATATAATATCAAATTGCTTCCCTTTTAATTGAATAGGACAAGTGCACACAGATACTAAATGCTTAGCTTGTGCCAACCATGATTTGAAATACAGTGTTTCCCACTCTCTTATCTAAACATTTCTTAAATAGCATAACCACGAGTTTAATTCACTGTCACTTAATGGCTGGCCTAAATCTGTTTGATTTGGGAACAACCTGAGCATCATTAGCAAAACTGCAGGATACCCATCTGGTCTAGCATCCCTTGAATAAACTAACCAAGCATTTCAGGTCTGTGAAATGCTTACTGCCATAGAGTTAAAAAGGAGGAAAATCTAAATTTCACCTCACTGAAGCATTTAAAAATTATTTTTATACAGGTCTGTAATCCACACATTCTATTTTAATCAGGTTTTCTTACATTTAGTTTGAACATTGCAATTGTATTCCAGTGCTTTTGAAATTTACATTTACTGCAATGTGTGCACATGATCACATTCATTTTGAACATGCAGGCAGCTACATACAGTGTGAGAATCTAATTTTAGATCAGAACATTTGTGCTCAACAAACACTATGCAACAAAGAAAAAAAAGAGGAGGAAAATACTATGCTAAAAATAAGACTTGTTTTTCATGTGACTGAGCAAGTTGACTGAGAAAATACTTTTTTTGAATTCCATATCCATCTGTGTCAAATGTTTCCTAGATTCAAAAATACAGGGAATTTTTTTCAGTAGATAAAATATGCTAGATTGATATTTACAAAACTCATAGAAGCTTATATTTAGACTTTACTTAATCCACCCTCTTTTATTTACATTTATCAGAAAGCGGGTAAATGGGAATATAATTTCAAGGTAAGTAATGTATAAATGCAGCTTTGTTAGTTCCCTTGTGTAGCCTTCCTAGTAAGAGCAGTGGCTCAATTTACGTGTAGAAGGCTGTGTGCTTCAGACAAGTGTTTCCTTCCCATATTCCCACTGACCTGTAGCTGTGACTTCTTTAGAATCAATTAATTGATAGGAATTTCAGTAGAGTAGTATTGCTTATGTAGTTCCCATGTATTAAACATCTACACTTGATTTTTAGACTATTCCTGTTCTACTGACTTCACAAACTACATTGTCAGGAGTTCATAATATTTTAAATAATAACTTTAATATTAATTATTATTTTTCTGTTCTTGCTCAACCAAGCAAATGCTATTATTTTTGCTATTAAGTAAAATATGAGTTTAACACATTTTATCATTATATATAATTATATAATCAATTGGTTTTCTCAGTTTTATTTATGCTTTAAATGTGCCATCTGTGTAATTCTTAAATCAACTATGTGTTCAGTTGTATTTGTTAATTTAAAAATCAAGTTTTTACTTAGTACTTTAAATGCAAAGATCTGATCTAATTTGGCAGTTTTACAGCTCTTATTTTATCACTAAAATTGTTTCCCTAGTCTAACTCCAGTTGATTTTTTATAGCAATTATGTCTTCGGAAGGGTAGATTTAGAAACACTCCATGACACAGCTTGTGTTAGATAGTAAAACATATAAATATGTTAAAGGCAATAATTATAATTTTTTCTTTTGCATCTTAAAATCATATGGTTAAAATTCTGTACATCTTGGGAGTGGTTTGTGGCACAGGGGCTGAGGCTGCTGCTTCAGACACCTGCCTCCCATTTTGGAGTGCAAGATGGAGCTCCAGTTTTTCTCCTTCCTATCCAGCTTCCTGCTGATGCATCCTGGGAGGCAGTAGGTGATAGCAGCAGGTGGCAGCTCAAGTGCCTGGGCCTCTGGCGGCCCTGAAGGAGCTCCTGTTTCCTTTCTTCAGGCTGGTACAGCTCTAGCTGTTGCAGATATTTGGGGGAATGAATTAGCCAATAGAATCATCTCTTTCTCTCCTCCTCTCTCCCTCTCTCTCCACCTTTCAAGCAGATGAAAATAAAATACACCTGGATTTTTTTTTTATTTACATTCAAGGAAATACCAGTGCTTTACGTCTCAGTGAAGAAAAGTAATGCTGCATTATAAACAAAAGCCAAAACTAGCTTAGGGTTCACTTTACCCTTTGCACTAGTCAGTATCTTAAATAAAAGTATATCAAGTATACCTAGCAATGAGCTGCTTCAGAGCAACCTGTATATTACAGTGCCTTTGGGATTGAGTAAACCTAATGTCCTCCTTATGATGAATTTGCAAAAAAAAATATGACAAAGAACTGATTTCCTTAATAAAGAACATTTAAAAGAAAAAATTGTGGATCAACTATAAAAATGCACATAAACAGCACTTAATAAGTATAGAGGTCAATGGGAATGGAAAATGTTAATATAAATAATTTTAAACAATTCATATATAAATAAAAATCATGTATATTTTTATTCATGTGTTTATCAATATCACAATAGGTTATTTTAATGACAGCACATAATACTGCTGAAGATGCAATAAAACCAACTCCAGTGCAGTATCATAAAATGTAGCAAGCACAAGAAATGGTAGCTGCAGTTATTGCCATTATTCCTAAATTCTTTTAGCTAGTTTAAAAGTAATTTTGCTAATATGTGTCAACATGTTCATAATGTAATTTTGCTTATAAGAATTATATGTAAAAATCATTATAGTCGTAGATGGGATGTTCAGAGATGTTTCTCACAGAATTCTGTTTCTTAAAGATTTATTTACTTATTTGAAAGCCATAGGGAAAGCCAAAGGGAAAAAGGGAGAGAGACAGAGAGAAAGATATAAATCTTCCTTCTGCTAGTTCAATCCTCAAATAACCACAAACTCTAGGGCTGGACAGGCTGAAGACAGGAGCCCAGACTGAGTTCAGTGTTCCAAGCACTTGGATCACGTTCCCTGCTTTCCCAGGTGCATTAACAGAGAGCTAGATCAGAAGAGAAGCAGCCAGGACTTGAATCAGTGCCCATGTGGGATTATGTCCAACAGGCAGCATTTTAACTTACAGTGCTGCAACCTACGCCCTTGTCACAGAATTCTTAAAAAACAGCTCCACATTGGGAAGACATTCCTCTCAAATGGAAAAGATAAGCAACTGTTTGCAAACCCACTTTATAGAAATTGGTGATTTCCTAACAATGTGTGTAGATGCCTATAATATAAATCGAAAAATAAGGGCAATTAATTAGATTGCCTCAGTTACATAGACACAGTGATAAAATTATTAGAAAATATGGATAATCCTAATTGTCTCTTCTACACAAAATACTCAGAAAAGTCACTCTTTGCTTTCATGCAAATTAAGATATTAAGTAATATTATGGATTTTTGTAAATGAAAAATAATGTTTATCTCTGTGGACTTGAAATTTCTCATTTTTTTCCTGGTT